CCTGAGTCTCCTTTATGCTTGTGACTAGAAGTGTTTTGGATTTCAGAAATTTTCAAATTTTGGAATATTTGTGTGTGTGTATAAATATATAATGAGATATCTTAAAGAGGGGACATACATTTATGTTGCATATACACATTATACACCTTATACACACCACCTGAAGGTAATTTTTATAAATAATATTTTTAATAATTTTGTGGACGCAACAAAGTGTATGTACATTGAACCATCAGAAAGCAAAGGTATCACTATTTCAGCCACCCATGAAAAAGAAGATTTAGTTTTTGGAATATTTGGATTTTGGAATTTTGGACAAGGAAGACTCAACCTGTATTGTATTTTTACTGCAAATAAACTTGTGGGACTTTTGGATTCATCTGCCAAAATAATTTGATTGCAGCTTGACTTGGATGAGTCAAGGGTGTATGCCACTTGCTTTTCTGCCTCTGGTAGAAAAATGGCTCGATACCTCCCTGATGGCATCCAGAGGTAAAGTTTCCCAACCTAGAAATAGGATACTCCTTAGATGGCATAATGTGTAATGTCAGAGCTTTACACACACTGTGTTACAGAGGTGTCAGTGCCCAAGTAAAAATTATACACAACTTTAGTGACACAGATACCCTGCAGTGTTGGCACACTAGCACTGCTTGTCCTCACATCCCATTAGTCTCTGTGCTGCATCCTTAACCATTACTTACTGCCACCACTAATTTGGCACCCAGCTGCTCCTGGGATCAGACCATCAGTCCCACTGACATAAATGAGTTTAATTTGGCAGTACTTTACATTTAATTTTGGATTAGTTAATTTTTATTATCCATGTACATATCCTCTGAATAGTTTGGCTGGGATCCAGAGAGCTACTTTAGGTGTGCCAGAGGACTTCGGTATACCCAGTGGGATATCTGACTTATATCCTTCAAAAGAGACCATTGTGCCTCATCAAAATCTGTTTCTGGAAAGCCCTGCAGTTTGTGGTGTAGCAATGGAAGCTGCAGTTTACCACATTTAACTAAATTACCAAATCCCTGGGCAGGTGGGATTTGTTGTGTGGTCCTTTGTTCTGGATTTTTATTCTATTTTTTGGGGTTTCCATATTTTCTTTGACACTCTGAACATCCGAACTGCATCACTAGGATGGCTAATAGATCTAGAAAAGACAAACATTCTATATAGAGAATATTTAAAATAGTAAAGATAGGGGAAAAAGTCAGGGTGGGAGTACATCAGTGTGGTGTAGTGGTGTGAATATTGGCCTATGACACTAGAGACCAGGGTTTGAATCCCTGCTCAGCCACAGAAACCCACTGGCTGATCTTGGGCAAGTCACACTCTCTCAGCCTCAGAGGGTGGTAAAGGCAAACCTCCTCTGAACAAATATTGCCAAGAAAACCCTTTGGTAGGTTTGCCTTAAGGTCACCATAAGCCAGAAACGACTTGAAGGTACAGAACAACAAGAAGCCTGGGGACATAAGAAACTTTTTTGCTTGTTGCCTAAAAAATGTCAGTGTCAATCTTGCCTTGCTGAGAAGAACACTCTTCAGGCATGGAGCCACCACTACAAAGGTTATGTCCCAGTCCTCCACTCACCTCAAATCAGATGGTGGAGACAGTGAAGGTTTATGATGAAAATCTCAATGGGTGGGTAGATTACAATGGGAGATGTCAGTCAAACTGCAATTTCAGTCCTAAGCAGTGTAGGGTTTTACAAAATATAACTAGGAGTTGGAACTGAGTCTGGAAACATAGCGGGAGCAGGGCTGGCCCAGGAGATCATGCTGTCTGAAGCTGATCTGCTTCCCACAACCCACAGCTTTTGCTTCCATCAGTTTCTCTCCACATCTTTTGCCACCACATCAGTCATGGTAACACCAACCTTTTGGATCTCTAAGACTGTACTGATCCTCCACCAGTTTGTTTGCTCACAGGAAGCTATCTTTCCATGGAGTATGGTATTGTGACTGAGGTCACTCCAGACAGTTTTCCACACCACTGCCACTTTGCTATGATAGCAGAAAATAATGTTTGAAGTTCAATAGAGACTTGAAGTAGGATTTGCCACTGTCCCTCAGGGTTGCTTTTTAACAGTGCCACATGCAATGCTTTAGAGCTTGCTATATGTAATGGCAGCTGGATCTGGAGTAGTGAGAATAATGGTAGCAGAAATGGATGGTGCTGTCTGTGGTGGATGGGGACCACAATCCACCCTCTGCTTCTTGATATATTGCCTGGGTAATATGGCTCATTGTGGCTCATGGCAGGGCCAGCCTTGCCACCTGGTCTCTATTAGCAATGCATATAACTTTGGCATTGTGAATTCCCTGCTGTTTCTGATCAGTTTTGTGTCAGTTGTTTTGTGCCTTCAAGTTGACTCCGACTTATGGCAACCATATCTTATGGTTTTCCTGATGAGATTTGTTCGGAGGGAGTTTGCCATTGCCTTCCTCTTAGGATGAGAGAGTGTGATTTGCCCAGCATCACCCAGTGGGTTTTCATGACTGAATGGGAATTTGAGAACGGTTCCCAATTGGCAAAGGAGTCAGACAAGGCTGTATCCTATCAACCTAACTATTCAACTTATATGCAGAACATATTGTAAAGAAAGCCAGCTTGGATATGGAAGAGGGAGGAGTGAAAATAGGAGGAAGAAATATCAACAACAACAAACCCTTTGTCCTGACTAATTATCTTTTCCCCTTAGAGGTCTCTAAATCTCACAAAGCTTTCACTTTCAATTTTAAATTCTCTGCTATCAGCACTTTTCGAAGGGAAATACTTATTTATCTCCCATTGCAACATGTCTGCACTTCTTAATTGGGCATGGTTGAAATAATTATGCAAATGTTCTTATACTATATTATCTGTACTACAAGGTTCTTTATATATTCAGTTGTAACAAATTTTCCAGGTAGATCTTATAGTTTTTACTCTTTTCTTATTCCATTAACCAAATTACTTTAAGATGTCCCAAGTTTTGTATTTTATGTTATGTTGTTCTTCAATGTGTATTGAAGAAGTATCTTTAAATATTCTTGTACCTACAGTTTGCTCTTATCTTATAACTGCAAAGGCTTGACTTAATAGTAATAAAGTCTCTTTCTCAATCCCTGTCCCTCCTTCCCTCTCTTTTTCTCTTTCATTAGTGATCAGGCATCTCTAGATTAATCTAGTAGTCTTTCATCATCTTGGAAAACTAGTTGTAGTAGGTTGTATGTAGGGAACTAAGTATGGAATAGTGAGGAGAAATGCTGGTTTATTTTTATACTGTACGGATTTCAGTGCCTACCAAGAATGTCTGTCTACATTGTTGTGAAATCAGTTCCACAGTTTTTTTATTTTTAGTTCTCTTATTCAGTCTGAATTTTGCACCGAATATTGTGAAATTAGAGTGAGGAGAGCTAGAGGGCACTGTGGCTAAATGTTTTGCTTTCTCTTATTTTAACAGCAAGACTGGCCAGAATTTAGCAGCAGTTTAGAAGCAATGCTAGCTTAAAACTGTATTTGTGAAATCATATGATCCATTGTTATTCTGGGCGTGTGGGGAGGAATAATGAGGAAGAAGCCAGGAAATTAAGTTTTGCTTTTCTCTTTTGGCAGAACTTCCAAATGTAGAATTAAAGCCACATATAGAACGATATTGTTCTACCTGCCCAAAGAAGCCTCTGCAACAAATGAATATTTAGCACTGCCATCTGCAAGTGCTGAATGCTCCCATCCATTAATCATATTTGTCTAATTATTTTTCCATATAAAATAAATAATTGATAAGAAACAACGGCACCCATATGGCTTGAGCAGGCGTTTTGGAAATGTTAACTGAGAAGCAGATGGGATTTCTTGATTGCTTCAGCCAAAAAGTTGAAGACAGTTTCTTAGGACTACCAAAGCAAGTGGAAAGCTAAGTGTTTTGAGATGTCTATCCCCACTGTATCCTGTGCCTCAGGATTGGTTGCCTGGCTACAGAGAGTGATCTGTTTTTAAAAATAAGATCCTCTTCTTGAATAGTTTGTAATCTAATGTAGCATTAGGGGACATCTAGCGATCAAAAGAGGGGCCCAGTATAGCAGAACTGGACAACTTATGCCCCTCTAGATGTCGATGAGCTACTATACCTCTGCATTAGTCAGGATGGTAAAAGGCTGACGATAACTGGACACAAATAACATTGGAAGGGCCACAGGTTTCCCAGTCCTGAAGGCAGCATCACATTCTCAGAGGTTACAATGCAGTGTCTTGCCCACTCGGCATTATGTTGAAACTTCAGCATAAGAAGCCCTCTCTCTATAAATCACTCCACTTCAAGCTTGGTATACCATATTAGCATTGGGTAATCTTTTCTTGTCACCACATTCTTCATGCTTTACAGCCAACATTTTTACTTTCCCTTCCAAGCTGGGCATGTACAAAATTCAAGTTACATGAAAAATATTTTTTGATAAGGTACTGGAAATTTTGGCTTCCAATATACGGAGTTCACTGGTAAAAAAAATGTATGTGACTTCATAACAATGAAGGTTGAGAATTCCCCTTGCTTCCTCAAAAGCATCATTTATTGTTTGTGGGGTCCTCTTGAAAAATAAATGTTATGTTAAGAGGTTCTTGAAATACCATGATTAAGACTCAGTGAGAAATACATTTTATTTAATTTGAAGGAACCTACGGTAAATCTTCAAACTGACATGTTGTTCAAAAATTATAGGAACACAACTTTATAAAATGAGAGCACAGTGCAATGTAATGGTTTAAAAGTACTAGCCTAGAACCTGGGAAACCAGGTTTTGAATCTCTGTTCAGTTATGGACACCCACTGGGTTTCCTTGGCAAAGTCACACAGTCTCAGCCTCAGAGGAAGTCAATGGTAAACCTTAACTGAATAAATCTTGCTAAAAACCCCCAAACACCTCAAAGCCCATACATAAGGTCACCCATAAACCAGAGTTGACTTGAAGGCATATAAAAAAAAACAAGATTTATAAACCATATAATCAAAACTAATCCAGTAAAACACCTGCCACATCACAGCAGAAGTCTTGTAACACTTATGAATGAACACATTGCACTTGTATAAGTTTTCATGTTTGGCTAATTTAAGGCAAGGGGTGGCCATATCCATTAAGCCTGGAGGCAATTTTCTTACTGGCATGGACTGCATGTCAAGTAGAAGTAGTCAGAAGACCAGATCTAGGTTTTGGGTTTTTTTGGGTTTTTTTTAAGAGAGAGTGAGAGAGAATCATTCTTTGATTTAAGGGAAAATCACATTTAACTGGTAGTTTCTGGGAGAGGAAAAAGGCTAGTGTACGGATGTCTTGGGGGATTCTGGGGCCCACAAAATAATGCAGGGGGCTTCATTTATTTCATATTGTGTACTAAGATACACAAGACTCTGTGCTAGAATATATTTAATCTAGCTATATTTCTCCATTTATGGCATTTGTGTTGCTGTGTAAGTTCTATTTACATTAATGTTCCATGTGTTTTTTAATCATATATTTGCCAGTACACTTTTTTTTAATTTAGGAGGAGGGTTTGGCTTGGTTTATTGTGCAAGAATGCTATACAAATAGATTCATCTATCTATCTATCTATCTATCTATCTATCTATCTATCTATCTATCTATCTATCACATAATATGTGTTCCTTTAATGATGAAATTTCCATCTGACATATCTAAATGCTTTTATCTGTCTGAATCATGTACTAATTACTAATTAGTCACTGTTATTTAATTAGACCATCTATTTGGTGAATCCTTCATTAATCACTCCCAGTTAGGTATTTTGCCAGCTGTTGGTGAAAGCTGTGCTTCTCAGCTGGGATTAGATGCATGTTGTATGTTGCAACTGTACCATTGGAACAACTGTTCCTTCCCTTTTGTCCCTAAGCAAGATGGTGACAATTGTGCTAATGGTTGTTTGCTTGGTAATGGACCAAAATCAAAGCAAGCGCAAGGTAAAATCTTTTCTGTCTGAAGCAGGTAGGAATTTGCCTACACACAATGCTCAATAGACATTGCTATGGTGTTCTTATTTGGTAAGCAAATACTGGAAAATGAACACAGGCCTTTAGAACTGAGAGCTAAAGAATATCCTGGAAAACAGTGGAATATGTAGGCTTCTCAGTATGTATAGGTTGAGTTTCCTTTATCTAAAATATCAAAATCTGAAGTATTCAAAAACCAAAACATTTTTCTTTGGTGGCTGAGATAATGACACATTTGCTTTCTCATGGTTCAATGTACACAAACTTT